ATTCCGCCCTTCATGACGTCATACAGGGCCATACTCAAAAAAACTTTCCGAGACTTATCAAAACCCAGTAGTGTAGCTGGCACAGAAATACTCTGTCATACGTCCAAACCATTTTTTGAAACCGTGGCCATGTTTAGCATGAGGATCCTACTCTTTAACAGTGTAAGTAACTCAGAATGCATTAAATAGCATTAGACCCCCCCCTTTAACAAGATGTGTTCATTACCTGTCTAGTGATGTAAAATATACTTTAAAAAAACGGTTTGTCTTTTCAGATCTTCTATCATGTGTCTATTATATTTATTTAGTTGGCTTGTGAATTTTATGTTTCGCGTTTCAGAAATGTGGCGTAATTTCTGGTAGGGGGTCATAGTGGTTTTTGCAGTGTATTGTGGGATTTTTTTAGGGAGTGAAAATTCCAGCGCGATTGAGACAGCCCTTAAAATGGCTGACTCCCTGATCAGTGCCCTGCCTACTGAGCTGATTTAGATGCACACAGGGCCTTTGAGGCACCCATAAATATACAGACAAACAGAATATAACAAAATTACCTTTTGTTACTTGCCGATGACTCAAATAGCGCCGAATCCTTGCTTCGGCTATTGGAACTCCCAGCAGACTCATTGCCATGGGACTCATTTCCATGGGACTCGTTGCCATGGGACTCTGTTCCACTCCCACTGGACCCGCTGCTCTTCATCTCCACATCCTCATGGAGGGAATGGGCCATCTTCCGTTTGTTGTGGGGTGAGGCGGGAGTGTCTTGGCTGCTGTCGCTACCTTCAGATGCCAGGCCAAGTTTGGTCCCCTCCGCGAAACTGCCCATACGATGCAGCGTCGACATTGAACTGCATCCGGCTGCTTCACTCTGCCCCTCCAGGGAGGAGAACAGGTACGGTTTGGATTCGGAGTCCTCAGACATTGGAATAGGTTTGAAGAAGTGAAGCAAGGAGCCAGCAGATCAAGCCATATTCATGGTGGGGAGCATAGAGGGAATGTAGACGACATTTGTATTTCTACGGGAATAAACACAGAGAGAAAATGAGTCAATCATCTGAAAGTTTCAATCTCAAATAGGGGTGTGTGATAATGACAAAAAAATGATTTCTGGAATTTTGTTGATAATGATAATTAGACGATATTTTGCCGAGCATGTTACATATCGCATTAAATATCGCATGCGATATGGAAATCGCATGCGATATTTAATGCGCATTTTGTCAGTAAAGCCATTCTGTAATCAGCGGTAAATCTC